ATGCAAATCACATAAAAAGTACATACATACTAAATATATATGCATCTATTAATTGTTTTGTCCCTACTAAGAACTATCTGTTTTAATTAACTTCTTGAACATAATAAAAAACAGGATAGCCTGTAAAGTCCATGAATATATAAACACACATATAACTTTAACAGCAAAAACTAGGCTTGCAGAAGTAGGAAGCATATGATGGTTATAGAAAAATTATTAAAATCCTATATTCTATGCAAAAGTACCATAAAAATATTGTTTCCCATTACTCATAATGAGCTCAAACAATTCTGCTTTCTATCTTTTAAATAAAGACACAATTTATAACTACAGTTAAATTAAAATTAGATGTATTTCAAATATCCGAGCAGTGCCAACACCTTCTGCGCTCCGAAGGCGCTGCGGCCGGGGTGAAGCCACAGCCTGCCCGGGCGCCCCGGCCGCAGCCCCACACCGACGCGGCATCGCTGTACCGTCAGCGTGAGCCCCCGGGGCCCATGTTGTCTCTGTGCGTTGTTCCCCATCCCACTATTTTCCCTTGTTTCCAAAAGCATCAGTAGAACCAAAAAAGTGCTTTATCGTCATGTAATAGCACATTAGTTAACAGCAAAGAGCTGGCCACCTGCTTTTGCTGCTTCTCTTTACTTCTGCCAGGTCTCACTGTGTCATAGATCAGGGTTTTACACCTGCACAGGAAGGGGGCACAGTCATGGAAAACAGAAATACAGAGGCACATAGAGACATCGAATATGGACAGAAAAACATAGAACTAGAGACAATTTCTCATTTAAAGGAATTGTGTATATAGGTGTATATACATAATGTGGATGTACTGATTAATTTTGTTTTCCTATATAAAATAGTGGTCTGACTTCCTAGGATGGTGTGAAGATTATTCAGCTAATGTAAATATTATTCAGAAATAATTCTTTAGCTTGGTTTCTAATTTTACCTATGTAAAGATCATGCAAGAATCATTTATACTACTATTTATACATTACTAACACTGACAATTATATACTAGCATCATTGATAATTATACAGTAGTTATATTTTTATATAGTGACTATCATATACTAAGTCATACAGTATATACTAAGTTTTGATACATATTAGTTTAATAATGATTTTGTTCAGAGAATAGTATTAAGAAATTCCTGGCATAACTTGAATAGGTGCCTTAAGTAGAAAAAGATTTCTTTCAATTCTAAGAGCAAGAAAGGGTAATTATTCATTTTCCTTGTCAGACTCTTGGAGGTTTAGCTCTATTTCAAGATACCTAAGAGTCGAAAAATCAAATACAAGGAAGATTTACAAAATGCCAAGCACGATATTAGAAACTATATGTAGTGCATATTCTATCCTTAAAATAGCTCTGCATGGAATAAATATTTATTTTTGCAGATGAAAAGCAGACTTATAAACTTTTAAATTACTGTGAGCTCCTAGAGGGAAGAATTAAAATTTTTTTCACTGCCATATTTTTAGCAGCTAGCACAGTTTTATGACTACAGTGGGTGATAACCAGTATTTGTTAACTAGTTTACCTGGGGAAAGGGTTACAGAGCTAGTAGATGGCAGAGTTGGAATTTTATCTCAGGTTTGTCAGACTTCAAAGCTTAGTCTACCTATGCCCAGAAACCAGAAGAGGCAGGTGATCCGCTTCCTCTGCCTCAGGCCTCCTAAATGACCAGAATAGTTGATACAGGATTCTCTATTGGGAAGAATGGCCTAGATAGGAATTGATTATCTACTGGCAGTAAGATCAAAGCTCACAAAACCCCTAGATTTTAAATCCCTTCTGATTCCCATCATAACTGCATAATATTAGGTTTACAACTCAACACTTCAATATTTTTACTGTAAATAATGATAAAGACTATAATAATAAATGTTAAAAGCATGAGAATGTTGTGAGAATTAATTGTACCAATGCATCTAAAGTGTATGGCTATAAAATCATTAGTCATCATTATTATTTGCTCAAGAAACATGGATAGCTACTCAGGTCATACCCAGAAAAGCTAATTGTCCACGGTCAGGAGGGCCAATGAAGCCAGCATCACAACAATAGCCAAGGAGGTATCATCAGGGAATGTTTCAGAAACAAGAGTACTTCTAAATTGTGACAAGCATTTTAACTCGATCATCCACAGTTTTAAGTTATATGATATTCCTGTAAGCCAGGATTGGTGGAGGCTCTAAAAATACCATCTGAGTGATTTTAGCACTGGTGAAAGGCGAATGTATTCCTTTGTTTATGAGTAAGCTCGCTTCTAAAATGTGAAGCCCTTTATTGACACGTCAGGAGTAGTGCCCTGAAGGCAATGGAGAAGACTTCTACAGAATGTAGACAACCCTGACTTGAATTTTATCTGGTGCAAGGTTTGGAATACTTAAGCAGAATAACAAGGATAAAGTTTAAAGTAGAAAGCTTCCATATTGTTTAGCCATATAGGATTAAAAAAAAGATAATGGAAAGTAATTGACAATAAATAAAGGATTACTTAAGTTTTTGGCTTATAACATTTTATACACCAGATCAACTTTTATACGTGCCCTACTATGGGTTTTAAGATATTTCTCAGCTACCTGGAAGAGACTCTATGTATGTGTGTGTGTGTGTGTGTGTCTTTGGGACCCAATAAAAAACATAGAAGATAACAGTTTTTGGAGATCAGACATGTCAGAAAAGATAGTATTTTTTTACAATATCTACTTCTGCTACTTTAACCTACCTTCCTCAAGCAAGTGTAATTTTAGTCTAATTTTAAAAAGATAAACAGTATATTATATATATATTCTTTTTCCCTTGAGCATCAACATCAAAAGAAACACCTCTCATGGTAAGATAATTTCTGAGCTAATTCCTAGTTGTTAAAATTCACTGGAACTGGAAGGGGGGGCAGATAGTACAATGAAGGAAATTAACATGTTTGAGTGCTTAATATTCGTCATCCACTGTGCTAGGTTTTTTACACATGCTATTTCTTCAATCCTCAAAAGAACCTTATGAGGAAAGCATTTCTGTAACATTGAAAAACTAACTAGAATTATCTTTAGATATATATTGGGTTGGCCAAAATGTCTGTTTAGTTTTTTCCTTAAAATAAAAGACACATTTTCATTTTCACCAGTAATATTGATTTGGATATTTTGAGTATTTCTGCTATCTCTCGCTGTTGACTTCTAGTGGGTAGAGGACAGGGATGCTGTTAAACATCTACCAATGCATAAGAAGGCCCCCAGCCAAAATATCAATAGTATCAAGAAACTTCACAAACCACTTTTGACACATTTGATGAGTCACAGCACCTTCTCCATACACTGCATGAAACTTTTTGTCTTTCAGTTGCATTTTTATCTTTACTGAAATAGTTAAGCATAATATGCCAAAAGTGTTGCATACTTTCTTCCATCTTCAATATTAAAATGGCTGCACAAAAATTCAGCAATTTGGTTAAGGTTTTTAAAAATGCATGCTGATATAGCAGCTGTCACAATACAATCTAACAAAATTATTCCAAAAAAAATTAAAGTCAACTAAGCCCTACCAGAGCCATTGTGGGGGTCGGGGGGTAACTAAACGAACATTTTGGCCAACCCAAAAGATAATGAGAAAAGTACTTATTTAAAGTGACATAATTATTTGATTGTCCCATGTCACAAAATGTTATATGTGACCATGTATGGGAATGTTTAATTACTGCACCAGTATATAAATTAAAGAAACATTTTGAAATTTTTGACAAAGTTTATATTGTTTATGGTTGTATGATTTTACCTTCATTTTTTAAAAAGCACTACTTTATATTATAGTGATTTGTTAGACAAATGTGTCAAATCAGGGGAACTTTATAGAGAAAAATTTCAAAAGAGACAGAAGTTATTTTATCCAGTTTTTATAATTACAGCAGAATGCAATTTAATTTGAAATTCGGGAACATAGGTCAAATTTGGAATTGCATCACTGAAGAACTACAGTAGATTTCTATAATAAATTATAAACCAAAAGTAAGTGAAAGAGGCTTAAAATCCATTTCAACTGCTTGATGCATTATAATATTGTGAGGCCTCCTAAGCACTGGCAAGTACAACTATGTTCCCTTTTATTTGCTATAATTACCATGAACGTATGAGATAGTGGCTGTATTATACCATTTTTATCTTATAATGGTAATTAGTAGAAATCTTTAAATTGTGAAAAAGGAACATACATATAGACTTTACCTTGCCAGTGTTTATTGAGATTCAGTGAATGTTTTATACTAAGTTGCACAGAAATCGTCTTGCTTACTTTTTAAATTACGTTTTATAACATTTACAAAGGTATATGATTTATTACATATTTGTGTTATCAATACCAACATGTTTAAATAAACAAAGTTTACAGTCTTTTATGAGTATATTATCATGTATCTGTAAAATTACTTTTCTGTATTCATTCATGTTATTTTGATGTATCTGTTTCTATTTTGCATTGAAAGGTATATGACAAAAACAATTTTCCTTTTACAAGAGGTTTAGTTTTTATCCTCTGTATTAAAGATTAAACAGAAGAGTAAAGACTCACAAACAAATGATTACTTGGTTTGGGAAATCAGATTTTTGGGGGTGTGTTCTTTCAGATGTGCATACTTACTACATTAAAAATAATTTTAATTACAAAAATATGTAAACAAAGAAATTCCCAATAAGTAATATAGTTAATGATTCAGCCAAATTTTCCTAAGTGTGGTATAAATAAAGAATAAAATAAGCAAGTGTTTTTTTTAAATTTTTGGTTATATATACATTTCAAAAGTTACCTTAAGAAATAAAATTTAAACTCATATTTATTGCAGCTTATGGTTCATATTGTGGCCTTTTACTCTAACTTTTATTAGCATATGGTAGGCAAAAGCTGTAAAATTTTAGAGCAAAGATTTAAAGATAGGGGAATAGTATAGATAACTGAGACAATGTTAAGCATCACACAAAAAACTAATTAAAGGTCTTACCATGAACTATTGGTGCTAAGAGCATCATGAAGACAAGTAGCTGTGATGGCCACATGGTTGTGTAGCTGGCGTGAAAGTGCCTCAAGAGTGTTTGAAACGCGTAACAAAGAAGTGTTTCTGGTTCCTCTTCTGTATTGTAAGACCGATGATTAAAAAAAAAATTAAAAACCCAAAAAAGAAATATTCCTCAAAAACAGAAACACCAATATCCCAAATCCGAATCCTGCAAACAAAAAAAAAAGGGGGATTATCAAATAGAGGTTTTCTTAATTCCTTGAAAGTTTATTCCCTCATTAAAACATATGTTATACCTCCCCATTTCATTTAAAGAGTACAGGATTCAAATATAAAAATGAATAAATTACTTAAAAGACAATACTTACGCATGTATTAACAGGGGTTATTTCCCAGACCCCCAATAGACTGAAATAAAAAATTCAGTATCACTAGACAAATTAAAACAAATATATTAATTTAATAACTAATTTGTATAATTCATTAATATGTATAAATTGATTTGGAACTTACTATGTATATTTTCTACAAATATAATTTTTACTAACTTTACTAAAATATTCATTCATTATCATTACTATACGTCTAATTTTCTTTATTTATTAGTTTTGAGAGACAGAAACATTGATTTGTTGTTCCCCTTATTTATGAATTCACAGGGATGGAGCCCCCAACCTTGGCTTATCAGGATGATGCTTTATCCTATCAAGAACCCAGACAGGGTCATTACTATGAGTTTAAAACAAAAAGTTAAACATACGAGTCCTACTTTCATTCTCAGCCATGATATTCATTGAGAAATCATTCTACATATTAACTACATTGCTGTTTTAAGCACCTCGTAAGTAAATCTGTGATGATCATAGATTTATGTTCATTGGTTATGCTCAAACATAATTAATTCAACAGAAGTTTATAGAGTACTCACTGAAATACAAAGCACTGGACTACAAAATCAGATAGAGCATTGACTAAATCATATAACCCTTTCTCCAGGATCTTACAACTTAAGATGAAAAATCTTGCTTAAAAGCATTAAATTCAAACATGGGAAGCATTAAAATTTTTAAGCATTAAAAAAGTTATGATGGTGAATCAAACTGATATACCTGCCTCCCCTAAAGTATGCACAGATTTATCTTAGAGAACAAAAATACTGAGAGAACATGACCCAAATTTTGAAGATTCTGTCTTTCATAGTCAGCACCTCTAAAATTGATCAATCAAGAAGGAACTGCATCTTCCTTCCCCTCCTCTGTCTCCTTTATTCTGATGATTAATATACATTTCATGTAATTTCATATTTTGAGTATAAATTTATTTTTTTCTGGAAAGAGACATTAAAAATAGAGATAGTTTACTGAAGACTGTATTATAATCCTCATTTTGACAGATTAAATTCCAAAATATTTCTGAAGTACTTGCCTTGGTTATAAAGCAAAATTACACATATGTGCCTGAATTTCTAGCACTGTTATTTATAACATGGTAATTAAAAGCCATGATTCTGGATCAAAACTACCCTATCTCAATGACTAACTCTTCCAGTACCAAAACCTTGGGTTAGTCTTTTAAGCTCTGTGTATCAGCTTCTTGTCGGTTAATGGGAGAATGTGATAGTGCTTAACCCATATGATTATATAAACATTAAATAAACTAAAATGTGTAATTTTCGGTTATATAAAATATATAAAAATATGTATTGCCTAGCATATAATAAGTGTGTTACCAGTTATACACTGCATTAATTTTCAATTATCCTTTCAGCATAGATGAGTAAGAACAAGATCATTTGATAATTTTGCCAAAAAATATTTACTGAGTCACTACTTTGGAGATGGGCTCCAAGAAGCCTAAATCTGGACACAAAAGATACAACAAAACATTTCTTCTTCATCTCACAGATTTTATTTAAAAAAAGAAGCTCAAAACAGACAGTCTCAGAGTATTTTACTCTTACAAATAAGAAAAACGTTAACAGGAAAAAATGTGATTTAGGTAAAACAGAAACTATGTGGAAAGGGATCATATGCAACATCTTCATTTAATTTTCTCATTCATTCTCTGACTCCAAAATAACATTATTTAACATGCATATAATAATTAATGGATATTTAAATATACTTAATTGACTGATTGATCAACAAACCATATCCTCACCCTCAACATTCAGTCATTGTTTCTTTTTTTCTTTATGACTGCTACTTTATTAATGTCAAAAAATGACTTCTGTGAATATGTGTGTACATACAGACCCATACACAAAAACATAAATATACACAAATAAGATAAATACATACAGAACTGTTTAGCTACTGGAAAAATTATGGGTAGCCATCCAGCTAAATTATTTATTCATTATCCCCAAAATACATACTACATATTCTTGAAAATGAAAATGAAGTTCGGAAATTTTTGTCATTACTCACACTGAGGTGTGAGAAACACAACACAGGAAATGAAGTCACATAAAGAGGAGAAGAATGAACATTTCTTTAGTATGTATCATATGCCAACCAATGTTCTAAAAATCAAATAATTTTCTTACTATATTTTCTATACAACTCCATAAAGCAGATAATACCGTCTCACGTGTACTGAGAAGGGAAATTTGATGTTATGCAGCAAGAATTTCAAATACATGAATCCAATACCAGTGCTCTTTTCTATTTATATAGTAAAAGTAAACAGGAAACTACATGACAGGAAAAAGCATAGCAAGTTTCCAGGTAGACTTAGGCCTTGCTGAAATACTTCGATTGTGAAAAGTAGAAAATCTGAACAGCATAAAAATAAAAGGAAAAAAAGAGAGAAAACAGTTTTATAATTTATAAAGCATAATTACAGAGCACCCTTTAGAGGTTCATGGAAAACTATTTCCAAAAAGAAATAAGAGTATTGCTATTGTGAAGTCTGGCTTCAGTGAACACCAGAATAGTTTATTTTATAAGATATAAAGTTTCACATTGATGAAGCAGTGAGTGAAATTTATTTTATAAAAAGGAAATAAATTACATCTGTATTATTTATAATGGTTTATTGTTAAGACTGCAGGAGGGCATAAAGGCACTTCTACCATGATATTTTATCTTTGATTCAGGCATAGGAATTTGTTTTCATGATTTTTGTGTAAACTGAGGAAGAAAAAGGAATTTGGAGGAACCAAAGCTATTTTTTGAGAAGGGTAACATGTTCTACACTCCAGCCTCAAGACCCGTCTCCCTCTCACACAAAGCCCCAAAATAAAGTGCGAATTTGGGAGAATATATAATAAAATTCCACCACTTAAACTATATATATTTTACTGAATAAATAAAAGAAAAGATTGCTCACAACATATAGAAAGAAAAACCCTTACTCTCGGAATACTAGCATTAAAAAAATAAGAAAATTTTCTGGAATGATTCTTTTCCAACTTATGTGTTGTCATTAACTTTACCAAACCAATCAGTTTTCATATAAAAGGGATGTTCACTCAACTGATTTCTAAACCCCAGCTCTTCAAAAACATATGGGGGGGTGGGGGGAGGAGACAAAAAGCATTAGAGACTCATTTAGTTACATGACAAGATAATTACTCATATAAAAGAGAGACTTACTAAAGATATAAAGCATTTAACAAGTGAATTTCAAGAATATTTCCATCTCCAATAAATTTGTTTTAGCCTTCTCTATGTATAAAGCTCTGTGCTAATACTATGGACAAAATGAAGAGAGTGTGGCTACAGGTTTAAAATGTGATCACGGTTTTAAAAGCACTTGCAGTAAAATATGAATGCCAAATAGTATCTTCACCAATAAATTACACTGCTGTGCAAAATATGATATGTGTTATGTGAGATGTTCTAGAAACAGAAAGTAATAAAAAAACAAAAAACTGACAGGTTTTCTTTTGCGTGTAAAGCAAGGGATTTAAAAGCATGCAGACCTAATATTCTGGTGCTGGCAAAATTACATACCTCTCTAATCTCTGTTTCTTCAACTAAAGACAAAAACCAATATTCACCTTGTAGGTTGATTTTGAGAATTAGAGATAAGGTATTTCATTGCCGGAGGCCGAGACTGTCACATGATTGTACAAGTCTGTTAGTACATGTCTGTCATTCACCAATTTCCTTTGTTTCCTTTATTTCTTCAAAGTAAGGGATAGGCCTTATGTCCTACACACCTCTCTCACATACATGTTTGGGAAGCTAACAGGTGTCTAGATATGCACAATCTCCTTGAAAACTCTACAGATGAACTATTCATACTAAATGTGAGATTTTATAAAGGATTTTCCATACTTTTCCTTTGTTTAAAATACACTTTATTATTTCTGCTACTAATATCCATTAAGAAATAAACATGTTAATGCTTTAAAATTACTCTCGAAAGATCGTATTTCTAACTCTTATCAAAGATAATCACAATACGACAGTTTTGCCAGTTACCCTAAGTCAAGCTTGGAAGGAATGTATTTCTAGTGCAGTCCTTGATTCGGAACTTGGAGTTTATCTTCCCTCAGACAAAACTAACTAACTTCACTATTCTTCACAATATTCAAAATTAAAAAGTAAAGTTAAGTTATCCTAATTCACATCATTAACATTAAGATTATAATAATGCAGCTGTGTGATTTGAGTCAAGTTCACTAAACATGTTTCTAAAATAAAAAAATGAAAAAAATGTTACAAATGTATGGGAAATCATATATTTGTTATACTTAGATGAAATTTCATTCATGTTTCATACCACTACACACTAAAATTATTTGAATTGCATCTGTTATTGCTGAATTTAAGACAATTCAGTTGATTGAATTTAAGACAATTCAACTAATACCGATTTTATTTTGGGGAAACTCTCACCTTAAATTCGGGAGTCATAAATTGTTTTTCCTGCTTATATTTTTCATATCAAATCATGTTTGAAAACCTATATTTTTATTTTATATTTATTCCATTTCTATACCCTACATAGAAATCAATATCAGAATCTTCATGCCACTGATCTTGAAATTGTTCCCTTCATTTTAGCTATTCTTAATCACATTCCTGTAAAATAACTTACTCTAAATATTTTCCCAAAGTAAACTGTATGTCATTATATCTTTCTCCTCATAACTTTGAGAAGATACTTTAA